ATAAAGAGTTGAATAGATAATATGCATAAAAATTAGTGGTGAATATTAGAAACCCCTCTCTCCAAGAAGAACTAAGGGCATCCGTATTGGTGAATTTTGGTGGGTATCATTAAATATAAAATTATTAAAATTTGAGTAAAAAGAAGAAAGAGAGTGTTTTTGGTTGAAATAATGGGGTGTATTGAAATATAAAATTAATAAAATTTGAGTAAAAAGAGGAGATGAGTTGATACTTTTGGAGATAGAGTGTCTTTGTATCAATGGGTTGATACTTTTGGAGAGAGTTTAAACTTTAGTTAGGGTGTGTTTAAAAATAAAATTAATAAAAGTTGAATAAAAGGATGAAAGAGAAGGTATAAAGTTAAGTAAAAGGAAGAGAGATTGTGTTTTTAATAATTTTATATTTAATGATACCCTCAAAAGTTCATGAGATTTTCATGGTCTCAATAAATAAAAAATTATTAAAATTAGAGTAAAAGGAAGAAAGATAATGTTTTTTGTTGAAATAGTGGAGTGTATTGAATTATAAAATTAATAAATTTTGAGTAAAAAGATGAGATAGTGGATAAAATTGGAGAGAGAATCTCATGAGGGTGAGACTTTTATAGAGTAAGTTTATTTTAGTTGGGGTGTGTTTAAATATAAAATTAATAAAAATTGAGAAAAAAGATGAAAGAAAAGGTATAAAGTTGAATAAAAAGAAGAGAGAGTGTGTTTTTAATAATTTTTTATTGGCTAAGACCATAGAAATCTCATGGATAATCATGGTCTAAATGCTTTGTTGGATTTGAACTAAAGTTGGAGCATAACTAAGGACAAGTGGACAAGTCAATTTTTCACCATGAAGATCCAATTGTAAGTATCTATCCTCTGCCACAATGTGTAAGACCTCACTGTCACTGCAACACACTAGAGCTTTGTTCCGCTCGTCCGATCAGAAGGCCTGTAAATGGTGTTGGCTGTTAGAAACTTGGTCCATGACATGATCCCGGTACTCTCTGTCACCCATACATCCATCTCTGATCGATTGTCGTACAAATGAGCTAGTAGAAAAAGTTGCTCCTCTCTACCAACTGACAAAGCCGTAGCATAGTAAGATGAAGAATGAGACTTCGAAATCTCTCTGTTGAAAAATCGAAACTTTGTAAGAAACTACGAAATGACCCCTCTTGACGAATAGCAACCCAGTAAATATTCCCCTTGACAAAAAATACGGCACGACTCAGATACAGAGGTAGGAACCAGTCACTAGTCTCACCAACACTCTTCCACGAATTAGAGGTAAAGTCATAAACTTCCAACTCAGTTCCAGCCTCAAGATTTTGTAACAGGAGGATTTGTTGTCGTATCCAAGAGCGTAGACATCGGATTCCTTGTAGGAAGTTCTGGGTTTGATCCACTTGGTTTCACCTGAACACGGATTCCAAACCACGAGTCTATTGTCCTCGGTGGTGCATAGCAATAAACCGTCACAGTATATCGATTTCTTCTTCTGAAGAATTAAAAAGAGGATCTTTGAGGCTGAATTGACTTGTTGATGGAGCAACCTCGTTGTTGTGAATTCCATAGAGATCGAAACTCACTAGAAAAACCCTAAAATCAACCAACAAGATAACCAGAGAGTGCCTTGGTGCATTAGCAGAGTGCTTCTTCGCAAATCTCCAATCTTTGAACAGACCGTTCCATCTTTTGGATGTAGATCGGAATCGTGCCAGAGATACCGTCGGAACCCTAGAGAGTATCTCCACTACCAAATCCTCCGGAAGTTCTACTGGGTTTCTCTTCTCCATCATCATCGGAGCGAACAAAGCGAGAGAGTGAGAGCATGTTTAATGGTGATACATTTAAGAGGTTCTAACTTATTTTTTAGTACAAAATTTAATATTAATTTAATGTTTGAGACTCAATTAGAGCATTTGCATTAGTGATACAACATGAGTATCATTAAATATAAAATTATTAAAACACACAC